GTGTATCTGTGACTGTATTTCTATGAGTGATGCAGTGTATCCTGTGACTGTATTTCTATGAGTGATGCAGTGTATTCTATGACTGTATTTCTATGAGTTATGCAGTGTATCTTGTGATTGTATTTCTATGAGTGATGCAGTGTATCTGTGACTGTATTTCCTTGAGTGATGCAGTGTATCCTGTGACTGTATTTCCATGAGTGATGCAGTGTATTCTGTGACTGTATTTCCATGAGTGATGCGGTGTATCCTGTGACTGTATTTTTATGAAATGCAGTGTATCCTGTGACTGTATTTCTATGAGTGATGCAGTGTATCATGTGACTGTATTTCTATGAGTGATGCAGTGTATTCTGTGACTGTATTTCCATGAGTGATGCAGTGTATCCTGTGACTGTATTTCCATGAGTGATGGAGTGTATATCCTGTGACTGTATTTCTATGAGTGATGCAGTGTATTTTGTGACTGTATTTCCATGAATGATGCAGTGTTTTCTGTGAGTGTATTTCCATGAGTGATGGAGTGTATCCTGTGACTGTATTTCTATGAGTGATGCAGTGTATCCTGTGACTGTATTTTCATGAGTGACGCAGTGTATCCTGTGACTGTATTTCTATGAGTGATGCAGTGTATCCTGTGACTGTATTTCTATGAGTGATGCAGTGTATTCTGTGACTGCATTTCTATGAGTGATGCAGTGTATCCTGTGACTGTATTTCTATGAGTGATGCAGTGTATCCTGTGACTGTATTTCTAAGTGATGCGATGTATTCTGTGACTGTATTTTTATGAGTGATGCAGTGTATCATGTGACTGTATTTTCATGAGTGATGCAGTGTATCCTGTGGCTGTATTTCCATGAGTGATGTGGAGTGTGTTGCAAAAATTCTGTAAGACAGAAATCTGAAAAAATGGTCTCTGCACAAAACATAGAAAATTTTCTTTCTGGCTTCAGGATACTGTTTATATATATATTGTTTTCAGCTATGAACTATGGTACAATGTTGTTCTTCCAGTGGCTATATGTTGTCCTCAATGGTAATTGTTTTAAAGTGCATAAGCAGCTCCCTCAACAACAAGGAAAATCACAGGAAAACTGGTGAGTTTGGGGGGGGATTGTCCTACAAGTATAATTGATGATATTCTCATTAAATAATAATTAGCCATTTACATGTTACTTTCAGCATGTCTGGTTTTTATCCTAAAAGGTGTGTTAAACTTAGGCAGAGGGTTCTCCGAACCCGCCTATTCACATAGTTCATACCCACCATAGACTCCAGTCAGTCAAAATGACTATCTTCAGCTACAAGGTCACTTTGTGGCCTTGACGTTGTTCTCACATATGCCCTTGGCCCTGGTAAGTTAGACTGAAGGGACCCCTTGCCCAATTTATAGTTTTATTAGAAATATCATTTTTTCATTTTTTGTTTTTTGTAGAGTTAACTGTTTTTTATTATTGCATAATTAGTAAGTTTATTGGTTTGTATGTTTTGATTTTGTATGTGCTTTTTTATTAAATGTAATTTATATCAATTTATATCTTCTGTGTCTTTACAAAAGTCTGCTTAGATCCTGGCACAATCTGAATGCGACAGGGATCTGTGGCCATGGGTGGGGGGTTTCTCTTCTCTCGTGAGGTGAGCTTCCCCGGAGACCACTGGAGTTAGTAAGTTGTAACCTGGCCCCTTGCCGAACATAAGCCCATCCCCCCTGTCGCAGAGGTAAGCGTCAAACATGCTTCCCCCGCTGCCGGGGTTAACAACCGCTCGAGGAAGAGGAGGAGCCATCACCTGGTCCTCTATTTCCCAGGGGTGCACCGCTACTCTTCTCTCCCACAGAAGGGTATGAGCGCTTGCCTCCTGGCTGACTCTGGCTAGCCTTAGGGCATTGCGTTTTCTGTGCTTGGGGCGCCCTCCATTTACCCTTGGCAGCGGCCAACTGGCTAGCGGATTCGACTTGTACCATTTGGTTTGTTACACCCTGAAGCTCTGATACTGTACCTGCTATCTCCCCGTCAAAGAGTGTGGGCGATGTCCAGTGTGCGTAACTGAGGCGGTGGCGTACCCCTGACTCAGTTCGCCGGCAAAAACATACGCGTCCAAAACCGCATCTCACTACATCGTAGTAGCCCCGACCAAGAGAGTTATATGACACTGGAGGATATCGCACATAACCGTGCGGTGGCCTGCCATTAACTGTGTCGCCTGGTCTAGAAGGCGGATATGTTCTGCGGCCGCCTCCCTTACCCGGTTAGCAAAACAGAAATTCGTGGTACCGGGGTCTGGGGAAGGAGCCTTGGGGTCCAGTCGGGGCCGTTGGGATCAGAATCCGAAATTGCCCCAATAGGGTAGCGTTTGGTCCAGCGAAAAGGGTTATGCAAAAAATTACCCCAGCCAGGGGCCTTTGGCGTTAGCTCCTCAGTGGCTGACCAACGACAGCCCCTCGACACTGTCTGCACGCCCTCCACCGTGCTCAGCGTTCGGCTGGACCAGGGGAGACATGCGGGCGACCGTGAGTGGTTGTTTTAGGATCGAGGGTGGGGGAATATACACCGTGTCACCTGGATTGATAATATTCCGCATCACGCAAACGACGTGGCTCCCTGAGTCATTACGCATGGAAGACTCTGAGGGACCGCCCGAGGTACCCATTGTATCCGACGCGGACGAACTGCCTCCTCTCAACTTAAATATGTGAGCGAGAGCGTGTTCGAGAGTGCGTCTCATGACAGGGTCGGCGAGAAGGGAGTCAAAACCCACAGCGGAGCTCGGACTTAAATTATTGAGTTCGGTACTGCACGGCGAACCTAGAATGCGAGCGGTGCTTCTTGTGTTTCTTCCTGCTTGCCGACTGAGAGGCCGCAGTGGAGACAGCTCGCTTCGACTGCATCTGGTCTACCCGGCCTGCCAGGGACGCAATTTGCCCCCACAGTCCTTCAACCATTGCCCTCATCTCAGAGGCAAAACTGGCGCCGTGCGAGGATGGATCCACAACGGGACCCAGAACGGGCCCCATAGGAGGAATGACCTTTTGGGGCACAGCCTCGCTGTTGCCGGTAAAGTCGGGTAACACATCGCCTGCAAAAACCCAAACCCCGCACGCAACTGACACACTGGTAGCATTTAGCATGTGGGTTCCAATCTTGTATGTTCTGCGCACAGTTGCTGCAAACCCGCCTCAAAACCTGAGGGGATAAAACCGGTGGCGAGCTTCTGGCGCTGTCAGTGCATCTATCCATTTCTAAATACATTGTAAATAAGACATGCATGAGGGAAAACAATTGTAAAAGGTGTTTTAATTTCTTTGTTGTGAGAAAATATTCCACACAAAGGGGAAAACGACACAAGGGTAAAAAATACAAGAAAAACATATCCTAGCAGATGGAATGTCAAATGCTGTGGCTGCAGCAATAACCCACGCAAACGAACCAGGCAGAGCCACCAAAAATCATCCCCGACGAGGTGGAGATGAAAGAAGAATGATTGCCTAGCCGTAATGGCACCGCCATATGGCCTCAGTCACGTGGTTTGTGACATAAGGGAAGAGAATCTTGGGGTCATGGGTCTCCCCCTGACCTAGATTCTATCTCTCCGTCACCGGCAGAATCGCTGATTAATGCCTACAGTTCAAAATAGTCATTTTGACTGGCCGGTGTCTATGGTGGGTAATTGAATGTAGTGAATTGGTTATCCTGTTACTTTTTATGTAGTTGAACATCCGATTATAGCTTATAATACATCTGCATACTAAGTAGCTAATTTGCATCCTATTTTGACGTGTACATGGAAGTATGAGTAAAATCTATAATTTTGAGCATCACTAAGAAATGTTCAAGAAACATCATACTTGTAGCCTACACAATTGTGTACTGATATAAACATTATATATCACTAGTTACAATCATGACAAAGTTTATTCAAATGATTAACAATATGGTGCAATATGAATAGTAAACAAAAATTACATTTGTAAAGTCAGGTTGTAATGTATTTATATTTGAATCAAGTTATCGTTCTGAATTTTGAATATATTTCACATCTTTGAATGCCTTTTCCTTCTTTCAAAGCTTTTCATCCAGAGGAAATTTTATTTGATTTGAGTTACTATGAAAAAACTCAAACATCGAGAATGATATCGAAGAATGTTGGTGATGATGATAAAATGATTATATATAGGATGATATATAAATATGATTCACAGCAAGGGACGTCATCTGTATGGGCATCATGATGCTACTTTGTATATTGCCATTGTAACATTATCATGCGACTTGATCAAAATATTACTGGAATTAAAAAAAAATTAATAATAATGAACAGTTGTGAGAAATAATTGCAGTGCTACATCAAGTGACACCAATGTCAGCAACTTTTTCTATTGTGATTTATTATCACTTGAATGGATACATTGAAAACTACTCAAAAACTTAAATTCACACAGCACATTGTATGAAATCCATAAATTCATTGATTTAAGTTCTGTTAGTAAATATGACAAATTAATCTACACATTAAGTATTAGCATATTCTAAAACATAGAACCACATGTGCGTGCCCTAGAGTACTATACTGTAATCTGAATCTTTACCCTTGCCATAGATCTCGTCTTTTACACTGTCCAATGTTCTTCAAAAATAAATGGTTCCATGTGACTTTTTAGATGAAGTCACACTTATAGAAATCAAGATACTAGGCACTATTTAATAAAATTTTATAAAATAATTTGAAGATTTTACACAAGAGATGTTTCAGTAACCAAAATTACAGAAATCACAATTTACAAAATTTTCACAATTCACAGTGTAACACATAGTGAACAAAAACCATGTAACTACACAAATGATGAGGTGGCATATGTTTTGCCACTGCACTGTATTCCTGTAAGCTCATTCACGTACTACATGCTTACCATGTATCAGATTCAAGGCATACAACAGGACATTTCTGCTCATCACTGGATAACTGTTTGCCAGCTTCAGCCAAGGATGACATTAGGCCAGCACCACTTACTTGAGCATTACCTTTGGCTACAATACAAAATACAGTATTAGAAAACAGAAGTACTAATGCAATATTCCATATAGAAAATTTGGCTTTTGATAGATGCATAACATTCAGTACTTCAAACATCAATGCTTAGATATACTGGCAGTACTGTAACCATTGTTTTGGAGAAAATAGAGAACCAAAAATTCACCATTTCTCATATGTGTAGATGCTCCAATAAAAGCTGCATCCCCTCTGTTGCATTGTATCATTTTAATAGAAGTTGTGGCTTCTAATACAGATTTTAGAGTAATATAGAAGATAGCTCTGATCAGCACCACCGAAACAACACACAATTTCCCATCAGCAATGGAGGCAAAGTGATATCACAGCACATATATTGTTATATTTATGTGCCTTTATTACAGATCTTTCATAACATGACACATATTCAAAACAAATAACATGTTATATTACAATGTATGATAGCAGAGACATACATGCCAGACAAAGGCCTTGGTGGTCAGCAGCTAATACTCCAACGACACCATGAACATTCATACTGCAATTGAAATGAAAATATTAGTGAGAAACCAAGTAGAGATACATGTATAATGAGTTTGACAAAAGCATGAGAGTTTTTTATATCAAATATGTTTTACAGATTTCAAATGATGACTAAAAACAGCTAGACCAATCACGACATGAAAGAAGGAGTAATTTACAGAGTGATGACCAAAATAATTTGGGGTTAATAAAATTTGAGAAACAAATAACTAGATTATTTCAATTTTTTTCTTAAGACAACAAATAGATTTGCATTTACTTTCAGCGTAAATCAAATCTATTCTAATACGAAATTGTCTCAACAAGCTAACAGGTTTCAACAGCAAATCAGTAAACCGTGCATGTCTGTGTTAGGCAAGCGTCTATTGAATGTTTTGACCATGTTACTGTGTTGATAGTATACATGTAATGATAATTATCTTGATTGTGTTCGTATCCTTATTAGAATCTTGAATAAAATTCTACACCATCTATGTGAACATTTTGATTTTTAATGTGTTTGCCACTTTTGTTTTTGATTTATTATTTATTTATTTATTT